AGGGTGGTGGGTTTGGGTGGGATGGGTTGAGGTGAAGTATGGTGGGGTGGTGTGGGTTGGGTGGGTGGGGTGGGCTGGGATATGGCTAAAGGGGAGGTGGAAGGTGAAGAGAAAGCCCTGAGCTTTGCAGGGCAGCAGCCATGGCAGGTTTTCCTATAGGGGAGAGCCTTGATCTGATTGGTATCTGGAAAGCACCCATCTCCATGGGGGAGGAGGGGGGAGACCAGTGACCCCCTTTTGCTGCAATCCAGATGAACAGTGACAAACTGGAAGGTGTGGCTTAGGCCAAAGTGACAGCAGGAAGGGGATGAGGAACGGTTAGACGTGACGAGGGCGCCACTGAGGTTCTGGATGGGTTGGCAGTAGAAGGAGGGGAAAGGGTCAGTCCTTGGGCACCAGGGCTGAGCACATGAGAGGGCAGACCGGCTCGGAACACTTCTCTAACGGGGGACACAAAGCAGGCCGCAGAGGACGGCCGCTGCCGTTTGGCCACAGCACCTATGATGTCACCAAACATGTAAGTGGAGGTGCTGACTGACAGCGGCTGGAGACATGAAGGTGGGCATCCTCCACACATGGCAGCCACTTAAAGCCTCACCCGATTGACAGGAAGTGGAGAAGGACCAAACTCTGCTTCTCCAACATGGAAATGTCAATACTATGAAGGGAGTCTGGGAATGGCGACCAGTTCAGTCTGGTTCTCTGGGATCAAAAGGATCCCAGGTACCCAGTAGGTGGGCGTGACCAGCTGCTGGGAGGTCACATGACATGACTGATGGGCCCAGCAACATGAAGGTCACTGCAACAAGACAGCTTCAGGGGCAGCAGAATTAATGGTGATGCTCCTGCTGCTGATCTGGGTCAAGCCAGGCAGGAGGAGGGGGTGGGGGAAGGAAGATGGAGACCCTGGGGAGCTCTGAATGAAGCCATTTCCAAACAGCCTTGGGGGTGAGGGGAGGGTGAGGGCGAGGGTGGAGAAGACAATGAGGTCATCCACCCGCCATGATGATGCTTTGACTCAGTGCCATTGGATAGGGTGGCCACACCTAGACCCTGCCAGTGAGCACTGCTTCCACTCACTCTGAAGTCCCCTTTCTGTGAAAGCTGAGGGTCAATGGGCCCCCTGGCCGAGGTCACCTTCTGACAGGTTCCCTGATCTTCTCTGGCCGTTTAGTTGGTGGCAGTCCTGAGAGAAGTCAAGTACTTGAACTTCCAGCAGCAGAAAGAGATTCCAGGCAGTGCAGAGAAGCTGTTCTCAGACAATGAAACCTTCCGGAAGTTTGTGGGCAACTTGGAGCTCATCGTTGGATGGTATAATGAGGTGAGTTGGGACGTCTTGTTTAATTTGCCAAGTTTTGGTTTCCCTTTAGAGCAAGCGGTGGTGGTGCTGTGAGGTCTCCACCCTGAACAGCATAGATGAGTGTATTTGAATATTCAAATGCGGCTTGACCAACTCTTCCTTATTCATGAGACAGAGGCAGCCACCATGGTGATGAGCGGTCAGTGCTTGAAGCGCGTCTCCCTCGCACCCCGGCATACATTATGCAATTCTTTGTAAATGCTTTGGAATCTCCTAGATTTTAGATATTATTAATGTGGAGTACATCACCTTTATGATGTCTTTTAAAGTGGGGGGAGGCGAGGGGGCACCTCATTGGGATCCAGACGTGGGGGAGCAGCCAACTGTGAGGGCATTGCACAAGGCGCCTAGGGAGCAGGCTCTCCACCCTCAGCTCTGTGGCCCAAGAATTTCACAGTTCTCCTCATCCCTCTGAGCTGGGGATCTGGCACAGCCATCATGAAGAGGTTCTGTAAAAATGAGCATCCCAGCAGGCATTGATTAGCCTTGGGGGCAGTCCCTTCTCTGCTCAGAGGGCCTCCCTCTCAGCTGAAGCAGAGGCTACCAGCAAACGGCATGGGCTCAGCAGGCAGCCCGTGTGTCTGTCTTCCTTCCATATACCCACACATTTAGGTTCCACCCACAGATGTGGGAAAGCACTGTGACAGTTTGGATCTTGACTGTCCCCCCAGGGTATTAGCCTCTTGGTCCCCTGCCTGTGGTGCTGTTGGGAGATGTGGGACCTTGGGCCTGATGGAAGGGAGTCAGGTCACTGGAGACACTGAGGTATGCTGGTACCCTGGACCCTTTGTCTCTCTGTCTTGCTTCCTGTTCACCACGAGGTGACCTCAGCCTCACACTCTCAGCACCATGAGTCTGCCTTTCCATAAGCCCCAAACTTTGGAAGTAAACCATGCAAACTGTGAGCTAAAACAGATTTTCCTACCTTTAAGTTGACTTTTTCAGGGGTCACAGCAACAGAAAGCTGATGGGAACAAACAACCCCAGGTGCCGCCCACCTTGACCCCCAGCCACAGCCAATGGGCTGGATTGGACACTGGTGGGTTCCCCGCTGCATCTGTGGCCTAGCACCACACTTCAAGCAGCCCAAGGCAACACAGATCTGTCATCTTCCAGTCTGAGGTGTATAGCCTGTGCGCTCTGCAGAGGTCGGGGCACCAGCTGGGTGGTTTTTCTTAAGCAGTGTCTGTTTACTGGGCCTCTCCAGCATCCAAAGGCCACACTTAGTGCCTCTTGTGTTGGTCAGGGCTCTCCAGAAAAAGGGAACCAAGACGAGGTGGAGGGATCTGTGGAGACTGATTCTAAGGAATTGGCTTGTGCAGTTACAGAGGACAGAAGTCCCAAAATGGGCACCTACTAGCTGACAGCCCAGGAAGGTCCGTGTATAATTCAGGCAGAGTCTTAAAACCTGAGAACCAGGGGGGCCCACAGCGTCAATCCAAAACCAATCACAGGAGAGGAGAGGAGATGCCCCATGAAACGGGGGCCAATTCCCCCACTTCCAAGTCCTTCTCACTAATGTCCTCAAAGACTGGGAAGAGACCCACCCGCGTTGGGAAGGGCATTCTACAGAGTCCAGAGTCAAATGTTAATCTTATCCAGAAATACCTAGAAACATGCTTCTCCTGGGCACCCTTGGGCATCATCAAATTGACAGAATTAATCATCACAGCCCTCTCTCCATCCTCAAAGCATGTCACTCCAACCTGGGCTTTGGTATCACACGGCCTTCCCCTCTGACCTTGCCTCCTCTTTATAAGGACACTTGGGATTACATCTGGCCCCTGGATAACCCAGCCCACCCAGATAATCTCCCCACCTAAGCTTCTTACCATCATTGAGATTAACCTCCACTTTACTGTGCAAGATCACATGGGCTGTGAAGTTAGGCAAGGGGACACTCTGGGAGTCATCACCAGAAAAGGAGTCCGAAAGACCCCGTCTTTGGATTCTGGAGACTTGAAATTGGGCCCCTGAGAGAATGGACCCCTGGGATGCTGGGGGCTCAGGTGCCATGGTGTGGTCAGCCCCAGCCTCATCCACATGAGCAGAGACACATCAGAAGGCACAAAGGTTGCATAAGGACGGGTTCAGGGAGATGACCCGGACAGGAGAACGAGGGCCTTAGCAGCCCTCACAGGGGCTCACAGCTCTGCTGACGTCATCCCGTGTTCGTCGGATGACCTCGGTTTTCAGCTGGCTCAAGGGTCGTTGTGTTTCTCGTCTTGAGCCTGGAGAATTCTGTTTTGTGTTTCCTGTCTCAGAGGCTTACCCTTAGATTTTTGCTGTAGGAGTTATCCAAACGCCACCTCCAGGCCAGGCTCTGTCCCCCATCTTGGTACCTTTCCTGATGGTCCCATCCATGATGTGACTGGAGATGCAGCGCCTTCCACCTCCTGTCCCACCCCATGAGCCTCTTGCTGAGCCTTGACAGCAGTGAGTAGCAGAGATATGCCAGACTTCAGCGGGAAGGTGAATGGGACACTGAGAGTCAGCGGTGTCTCTTTCCTGAGGGACTCACTGATAGAGCACCTTATGGAAGATGGTGACCAGACACCACCAGGTACTGACCATGCCCAGCAAGTCAGCGCCAACCAGATGCATCCAAAGAGAAGGCTTGAACTGTGGGAAGATTCAGCGGAGGCTGTGGGGAGCCTGGAGTACTTCCTGCTCTTGCCATTTCCCTTAAGCAACTGCGAAGGTCAGAGCTTGAAGGAAGAGAGCCGGGCTGGCTATCATATGAACTGGTCAGAAATATGCATGTGCACACCCACACACACTTACCCCAACCAGCAAATAACCAAGGCTGAAATGGTTCAGTAGAACGAATGCTTGTTAACCGGGTCTGGCGACACACATCTGTCATCCCAACATGTGGAAAGCCAATGTGAGGAGACTGAGAGAGTTCAAGGCCAGCCTGGGCTACAGAGTGGTACCCTCTCTCAGAAACAGCGTTAGGTGTATGATGATGCCCAGCTCCAATGACAGAAAGAAAGGGCTGGTAGACGGCTCGGAAAGTAGAGGTGCTAACTCCTAAGACTGTGGGCCTGGGTCTGACCCTGGGACCCAAATGGTGCAAGGAGAGAACGGACTTCTGTAAGACAGGTTAGATATTAGTCTTTTCTTTCAAACCCTGTAAAACTTGTGCTTTATGACAAGGATTCTAATCGTTTAATTCCTTCCCTCTAACCTGTTAAGACTTTTGTTTAGGAAAAGGCCCTGATGATTCCAGAATCTGATAAGCTGGAGTGGTGGTGCCCTCCCCACCTCTTCAGTTAACCCTCTTCCTCTCTTTCTTTGCACTTAATTTTTTTTTTTGGACGGGGTCTCTGTGCTGGATAGCTTTAGTGTCAACTTGATACATCTGGGTAGAGGGAGTCCCAAGTAGGGAATTGCCTCCATTAGACTGGCCTGTGGCCATGTCTGTGAGGCATTTTCTTGATTGTTGAGTGATGTGGGAGGGCCCAGCCCACTGTGGGTGGTGCCACCCCTGCGCAGGTGGGCCTGTGTTGCATAAGAAAGCAGGCTGAGCAGGGGCCAGGGGAGCAAGCCAGTAAGCAGTGTTCCTCCATGGCCAGTGCTCCAGCTCTTGCCTCCAGTTTCCTGCCCTGAGTTCCTACCTTGGGCTCCCTGATGAACTGTGACCTGGGAGATGTAAGATAAATAAACCCTTTCCTCCCCAAGTTGGTATTGGTCAGTGTTTTGTCACAGCAATGGAGAAACAACAATCTCCCTAGCCCCAGCCCACCTGGACCTCACTGTATAGAACAGGCTGGCCTCTATCTCACAGAAATCCACCCACCTTCCCCCCACCACCACCCAGTGCTGGAATTAAAGGCTCAATTTTTAAATTAGCCAACCAGGAAAGAGTGTGAGATCAGTAGGCCAGTCAGTGAGGAAATGGCATAGCACTCTTGTATTAGAGATGAAAGCCTACCAAACTTTTGGGTTGGGTGTGGTTGCTGGATCTGACTGGTCGTGCATCCCACCCTTTTCATAAGTAAAAGCTGCCCTACTGAGTTACCTTCACTTTATCCTCAAGTTCTTTTGTGCCATATTGGTGTGGTCTTTGGACCTCAAAGTTTATTTATAATACCCACACATGCATGTACACACACACACACACACACACACACACACACACACAAATTCAAAAAGAACCAGGCATGGTGATGCACACCTTTAATTCCAGTATTTGAGAGGCAGAGCTCTGTGAGTTCAAGGCCAACCTCATTTCCATAGCAAGTTCTAGGTCAGCTGGGCTACAAGGAAACCCTATCTCAAAAACAAAACAAAACAAAAAATTTAAAGAGAAAAATGTTGGGGTCTGGGGAGATGGTTCAGTAGTAAAGGTACTGGTTGCTCTTGCAGAGGACCCAGGTTTGGTTCCCAGCACCCATACGGCACTAACAAATGTCTGTAACTCCAATTCCAGGGGATCCAACGCCCTCTTCTGGCTTCTGTGGGTAGTGCAGGCAAAACACATACATAAAAAATTTTAAACTATTAAAAAGAAAGTTTTCATTAATTACATTCTTTGGAAGATAATCTTGACTTGCCTATTTTTCAGTGTCTGTTTTTAAATTTTATTTTTATTTTGTGTGTACGAGTGTATTACCTGCATGTTTATAAGTGTACCCATGTTGTGCAATGCCCATGGAAGTCAGAAGAGGGCGTCAGATCCCCTGGAACTGGGGTTACAGATACTCTTTAGCTGTCCTGTGGGTTCTGGGAATTGAACCTGGGCCCTCTGCAAGAACAGCCAGTGCTCTTAACCACTGAGCCTTCTCTCAAGCCTGAAAGAATTATCTTGAAAGGCAAGTCCCCTTCTTCTGTATTAGCCGCTTTTCTCATGACTGTGAGAAAAGACCTGACAGAAAGGAGTTAAGGAAGGAAGGGTGTCTTCAGGCTCATAGTGTGAGGGTGCAGTCCATCATGGTGGGGAAGGCATGGCGGCTCCACGGCGGCAGGACCACATGACTGGAACTCCTCGGCTCCTCACATCTTGATATAACAGGGAGCAAGAAGTACAACCAGGCTATAAAATCTCAAGGTCCACCCCCAGGAACCCACTTCTGCTAGTGACGGTCCAATTCAGAGAAATCTTTTCAAAACTTTCCAAAACAGCACCACCTGCTAGGGGCCAGGTGTTCAACCACACAGGCCTGCTGGGGACCTTGCACATTTAAACCACAACAGCCACTGGTCAGCTGCTAATTGTAATCCTCGGTCACTTCACAAAGACATAACCTTGGAAGGTTATATAGGAAGCAAAATGGGGCTAGTTGACGTGGTATCTCACAGTTCCACAGCACTTCCTGTTTAAGGGAAGAATTTACAGAAACGGCGTACACCCTCCTCTCCCTTGGTTATTTTTGTTCTGTTTTTTTCAGTCTTATGCGTTCAAGTTTTCAAGCATTAGCTAATTTCTCGGAGCAAGACCCAAGGCAGAGGTGTGGAGACTGTAGGTGCTCCATGGCGAACATGGGTCTGTTGAAAACACTTAAAGTGCTTCTCACCAGACCTCGGCTCCCCCGTGACGTTGCTGGGCTTCAGGCTTTAGATTTGTGACCGAGGAGAGATTTGGCACCTGAAATGCTCACTACACACCTGTTATTTTTTTAATCTGCTCCGAGTTTGGGACTACACGCCCAGTGTTCTATTGTAACTGTTCTACCACGTGGCATGGATGATGAAAAATTAAGTGTATACATAAGTCCTCTGGGTTAAAAATCCTTCTAGAAATCAGAATCTCTCAACTCCCAAACAAGCAATACTGTCACTAGCTTGGTTGGTGTCTGTAAATAAGCAACCCTTCCCACAGTTGAAAATTGAGCACTGGGACAAAATTCTAGCACCTCGGCCTTTATCCCACAGATAAAGACTACCGTGATGGAGGTAGAGTTCCCACTGATCAAGTCAGAACTGGAAGTAATTGATGTCAAGCTGCTGAGCGCTGAAACCACACTGTTCTGGAACGGGGAAGGTACCAAGGCCACCTCTGTCCCCAGGGTTTACTTGCACAGCACCTGACCACCATTCCTGAGGTGGCCGCTTCTGCCTCCCGGTTCCTTAGAGCTGCTTTGGCTGTGCTGGGTTTTGGTCAAAAGCCAGGGCATCATTCTGTGTTCTGGCCCAGTCTGAAAAGGGCTGTGTCACACGTCGAACTGGGCCAACATCCCTCGGGAGCTGCTGAGGGTCCAGCCGTTCCGGCACTGGGCCCCCCGGAGGCCTGGCTGTCCCCATGTCTACCATGCACACACAGCAAGTCAGCAGTGATGAACATGTCTCGGCTGCTCAAGGGAGAGGCAGGAGAGGAGGAAGAATGTGTAGCTGGGACTGTCCTTCCTCCCTCTCTCCCTCCCACCAGCAGATCAGACAGACGACCTGGGCTTCTCCCACCCCTGGACTCCCTCTGAAATCCTGATGAGACACCCCCACCCATATTGCTGCTCCCTTCCCTCTGAGGCCTTCGCTGTGCCTTTAGCCACCCGTTCACCTCCCCTGCTCTGCCCCACTGTCTCAACTGGAAGGCAGGACCAAATGCTATCACATCATGACACACGGGTCCTCTGGACTTTTCTGTACAGAGGCCACACTCCTCTCCTCCGGCTTCTGCCCAAGAGCATAGTTCTCCGTCTTCTCCGGGCCCTGACAGTTTTGTACAGACACTGCAGCAGTCTCCCTCTCCCCGTTCCTATTGGGAGAGGGATCTGAACCGCAGGAGCCTGGGTTGAGGCAAGGTCGCACGTCTGGGAGGCCTACACCACAGAGGCGCACTGTGCATGGCAGCTTCTGTTTCTAGAGCGTGATGCTCACTTTCCAGCGACTGGCCCATGACGTGGGGTGTCATGCCCACCCAAGAAGAGCCCGCGTCTTGCAGGGTCCTCCCTTGTGCAAGATTCTTTTCCGCTTCTCTTTCAGGTGTATTTCAGTACATTCAAGAGATGCGGGAGATTCTATATGACCTGCAGAAGAGGATTCAGAAAGCCAAGCAAAATATAGAAGGGATCACCCAGGTCATGCAGGTGAGGCTGCAGAGGGCAGAGCAGGCTTCCCGGCCCCAAGGCACTGGGGCCACGGAGAGGCCTGTGGCCACCCTGCTCTGGATGGGCAGAGTGATGCTGGTGTGTTCCCAAGGCAGAAAGAGCCCAGTCTCTCCACAGAACTTGCTTTTGTCAGATTTAGGAGTATAGAAAAAAGGAGTTAAGAGTCAGAGCCTGACCTGCAACAGGAATGTGCTCCCTGGATTCAGGAAGCCCAGAAAAGTGCTGATAGCTTTTCCCCACGGAATCATCTACTCCCTGAAGAGGCAGAAGTCTGGTCTTATATAGAAACTCTGCTGCACAGCCATAAGAGTTAACTCCGTGCCGGGGTCTGGTGTCCTTGAGGGTCTCTTTTCTGAAGATTATTTTCTCAGGCAGGTGAATTATCTATAGCCCTAAAGGAGACAGGTGGGCTCCATAAACAGTCTCCCTCAGTCCAGGGAGTGACCAGTGGATAAGGCTTGAGCAAGGCCAGACTGCCAACTTAGGGCCAGTTAGCCACTCGAAGGAATTTGTCTTTATGGCGTCCTCTAATGAAGCTTATGGCTCTCCTAAAGTTCACGTATTCTATCAGCTTTGTTCCATTCTGTTGAGCTCAGCAGACCATGCACAGGGCACCCACTATGCCAGGATGATACTCAGATCAAGGGGTAGAAAGAGATGGGTGATACATAGCCAATCAGGAAAGAGGCACGTGACTTACTATAAAATGACAGTTCTTTTTCAGTAGTCCTAATTTGCAAAACAATTGTGTCTTCAGAACAAAGCTTTGCATTTGTATGTAGGTATGTGCATGTATGTGTACACATGTGGAGAACAGAGCTCAATATCAGATACCTTCCTTAATCACATTGCACCTTACTTTCTGAAATGGGGTTTCCGGAACATGGAGCTCCGCAGCTGACTGGACTGGTTAGCTGATGAGCTCCAGGGATCTGCCTGTCTCTGCCCCCTCCCCACCGCCCCCACACTAGGGTTACAGGTGCACACCATAGCACCTGGCTTTTCCATGGGTTCTAGGGATCTGAACTCAGGTCCTCATGTAGAACAGCAAGCACTTTACCCATTGAACCATGTTCCTAACCCAAAACAGTCTTTTAAAAAACCCCTTCCTTCCTGTAAATTTTCAGTCAGTGATGTAACTCTATTAGATCATATATTTAAAGCAGCCCTGCTTAAGTCATTTGTCAGCATAACAAAATTAGAATGCTATGATGCCCCAGCTCTGCTCTACCACTGCCCCATGGCAGCTCCCACTAAGATGGGACTTTATGCTTTGTGTGTCCCCCCCCCCGCCCATGCCATCCACCAACCCCTAGTGGAAACAGTTTAACTCCTCCACATGTTTATTTAGAGCGTGCCTTCCTACCTCAAGACTCCCTTGGCTGTTCTGCTATGGCACGTCTTCCCCATGTTGGAGCTGACATTCATTCCCCCACCTTACACTTAGATTTACTCACTAAATGTTAGACACGTGAGCTGAAGGGGATAGCTCAGGCATTAAAGTGCTTCCCATGCAGGTATGAGGACTTGAGTTTGATCCCTAGAATCCACATAAAGTAAAAAAAAAAAAACAAAAAAAAACTGAGTATGGTGGTATGTACTTGTAATCCCAGTGCTCGGGAGACAGAGGCAGGCAGATCCCTGGACAGCCAGCCTAGCCTACTTGGTGAGCTTCAGGCCAGTGAGAGGTTATCTCAAAAACCAAGGTGGATGGCAAGGTTGACTTCTGGCTTCCTCCCATTACCTACACACACACACACACACACACACACACACCCTGTAGAGAACAAAAAAGTAGATATGAGCCAGGCATAGTAATCCTAGCTCTCAGGAAGCAAAACAGAAGGATCTCAAGTTTGTGGTTCACCTGGGTGTCATAGTAAGACCCTGCTCACACACAGACAACAGCATCAACAGCAACAAAAACATGCAAGTTAGTGGACCGCGGTGGCACACACCTTTAATCCCAGCACTTGGGAGGCAGAGGCAGGCAGACCATGAGTTCAAGGCCAGCCTGGTCTACATAATGAGTTCTAGGCCAGCTGGGGCTACAGGGAGACCCTATCTCAAAAAGACCGAAAAAAAAAAAAAAAAAAGGCATACACAGTGGGCCAAAGTCACTGCTCATCCCCATTTTGTATTTGGGATTCGTTTTCACTGAATCACTAGCATTCATGTCCTCACGGACTTAGCGCAGGAGGTGTAGCACGGGCACTGGGCGTTTCCAGGTGCACAGGTCCAGAGAACTAGGCTCCAATCCAAGGCCCACAAGAGATAAGGAGGCTCACACCTAAGAGCGGGAGGAAGGGGGGTGAGACCAAGCCTGTCGTCCAAAGCAGCTGTTTTTGCTGCCGTGGTCTCCTTCCAGGAGTGGTCAGCCAACCCCCTGTTTGAGAGGAAGGACAAGAAGGAGGCCCTGCTGGACCTGGATGGGAGAGTGGCCAACCTGAACAAGCGCTACGTGGCGGTCAAGGATGCAGGCGTGAGGGTCCAAGCCATGGTTGCTGTAAGGAGACGCCTGGGGGTCCTTTGAGAGCAGCTTGCCTTTCACAGAGGGGCGAGAGAAAAGACTAAGCTGGACACTTTATTAAAATGATAGATGACGGGTGTTCTAGTGGTCAAAGTCCACTAGCTTTCATCCAAAACACACTGACTCGGGAGCAGCTGGCCATCTTCATGGTGCCATCGTCCATGCCTGCCTGCTCTAAGTTGGTATAGGCTGTGCTAAGGTGACACCTTCACTCCAGGTCAACAGAGCTTATTTACCTGGGATAGCTGCTGTGTGTTCATGTGTGTCCTTTGTGGGTTTCTTACCCATGAAGGTGGGCAGGAGTCAGTGGACACATGAGGGCCGAGGAGCTCTCACAGGCGTGCACCTGGTGTATCACAGCCAACACATTTCAGTGGGCAGGTGGGATAAAATGCCTGCTTTGGCACCCAGGAAGTAGGCTGTTCCTTCTTACCAGTAGCCCTGGCAGCTAGAATCTGCATCCCTACTACCCTCTGGGACAGTCCTCGTGGCCTGTACAAGGAGAGTGCACAAGAACCTGGCTTTGCTGCAAAATCCACCCAGATCCCAGATCCCCACCATCATGGAGATTCCCTGGCTTTGTGTTTGGCTATCCAGCCTGTGTTCTAGCTGCCCCCACACCTCTTCCCAGGAATGTGGGAAGTGGGATGGTGTGTCAAGAAAAGGAAAAAGCATTCTCCCTTGAACTCAAGAAATTTCCAGGGCAGTCTGGGGACTTGCCCAGTGTATAGCGTAAATCCATGGTGTGGGCTTTATGGGAATCACCGCTTCCAGGCCACCCAGAGGCCCTACTGGGGATGGTCTATGTTGGACCATTCTTGAGGGTTATCTCTTTATACTGAAGGTCATTGTTCTGATGGCACAATTTGTCTGGATCAAACCTATTCCGCCTTATTTCTAAGCCCCCACTTCCTCCTTGGTCATACTTTAAAAGGTCCCACTTTAAAAAGATAAACTTTAAAAATGCTCTTAAGAAGAGTTAAGCAGTTGGCTTGTTTACACCCTCCAAAGTGTTGGGACGCAGCCTGTGTAGCTTTGCCACACGATGTGACAGCAGGAGGGTGGGCCAGGGGATGAGTGCTAGGGGCTAAGGCCCAGAAGAGGGAGAGGGAGCCGAGTGAGACTGGCCAGTGAGCCATCGAGAGCAGCCTCACCTGTCCCCAGCTTTGATGAGACAGCACTGCCTCTGTGCCTGGCTCTTTTTAATCACATTCATTTACTCTGTGACAGTCATTTGAACCGTTTCTTTCTATCTTATCCTGAAGTTATTTGAACCCGTGTCTTTTCTCTCCTTGGCCTAAGAATAGAGACTGAGTTATATTCATCTTGTATTCACTTATAGAACTCAGTGTCTTATCTATTCACCTACCCACCCATCCATCCCTCCCTCCATCCACTCATCTCCCCAGCTATCCATTCATCCCCCATTCTTCTACCTACCTACCCATCTATGCATTCAACCAAGCATCCATCCACCCACCCCCTTTCCCATCCATCTGCCCATCTACATACCCAACTATCCATCCATCCAACCATCCACCTATTCATCTACCCATCTATCTACCTGTCTGTCTACCCATCCATCCACTCATCCATCCAGCCATCCACTCACCCATCCATCCACCCGCCCACCCATCCATCCACCAGCCCATCCATCCATCCATCTGTCCACCCATCCATCCACCCGCCCATCCATCCATCCATCTGTCCACCCATCCATCCACCCACCCATCCATCCATCTGTCCACCCATCCATCCACCCCCCATCCATCCATCCACCAGCCCATCCATCCATCCACCTGCCCAATCCATCCATCCACCCATCCTCCTATCCATCCATCTACCTGTCCATGCACCCGTCCATCCATTCCCTACCATACCATCCATCCTTCTGTCCTCTACCCCCCATCAGACCTTCACCAGTTCTGTCCCAAGCATTTTGTCCAGTGCTGGGGGTACAGTGACAAAGAACATAGCTAATCCTGCTGTCACAAGATAGGCATCAAAGAAAGATACAGAACAAAGACAGAATAATTTAGAGTTGTCTCCTGTGTCCTAGTGGCACAAATAACAGGTTGTTGCTGGGCGTGGTGGCGCACGCCTTTAATCCCAGCACTCGGGAGGCAGAGGCAGGTGGATCTCTGTGAGTTCAAGGCCAGCCTGGTCTACATAGTGAGTTCCAGGACAGCTGGGGCTACAGGGAGACCCTGTCTCAAAAAGACCAAAAACAAACAAACAAAAAAACAAAACAAAACAAATAACCAAATAAAAGGTTGTTGAAGAGAATGCAGGTGGGGAACAGGGAAGGGGACCCAACCTGGAATGATAGTGGGTACTCACTCAGGGAAAGCCTTCATGAGGAGGTGACATCTGATCTAAAAGCCAAAAGATTAGAAGAAGGCACACCTTACAGGAACGGGAGGGAGCCAGCTGACAAAGCACTCCACGGGAAAGAGCCCGGCACGGTCTAGAGGCTCAGACACCTGCTCTGGGTCTCTCTGAACCAAGCAGATGAAGACAAGCCTGGCCCAGGCAGTCACAGACTCGGCTGGTCGGAGAGCTGGTGGGTGAACCAGTGAACTCATAGCCAAGGTGTGCTTCTACATGCAGGAGAATGCAGAGCTGTTCAGAGCAGACGTAACCAGCTTGCCCTGGAAGGATTACGTCAACTACATTGACGACACTGTCTTAGATGAGTTTAACCACTTCATCCGCAAATCTCTAAACTACTTAATGGACAACATGACTATGGACGTAAGTTATCAGTGTAAGGGGTATGTGTGTGTGTGTGTGTGTGCGTGCACGCCATGTGTGTGCACATGTCTATAAAGCAAGGTTTGTGTTGGAATCCATACTTTGGAGTTACCTGAGGAAAGAAAAGCCAGCTTGGACTGGTTTTAAACCTGAAGGTCCTACATACTAAGGAACCTCTCAGTCCCAGGCCCTCAGGATAGCTGGTCACCTTAAATCTACTATAATTCAAATGCACTTCAGGATCCCTGAGCAGATCTCAGAAAATGGTCCCATAGCACTGCCAGGCAACACCAAGGCACTCCTGCCGGTTTCTCATGGTGGCTGCAGCAACATCAGCAGCTAATATACCACTCTGTTAAGCTGAGCAGAACTGTCAAGCAGGTGAACCACAAAGGTGTGCTGATGAGCACTGAGTCACCTGACCACCCTCCCTGTGATGTCCTGTTATAGCCTGTGTCAGTCAGCTTTCTGTTGCTATGATAAAACACCAGAGAACATCAACTTCAAAGAAGACTTGTTTTGGCTCACAGTTTCTGAGGTGTCAGCTCACAGTGATGTGGCTCCATTGCCCATGGGATGTGGTGGGCGGAGTCACCTTGCAGGGAGCATGTGGTGGGGCAAAGGTGCTCATGTCACGGCGGTGGCCAGGAAATAAAGAGTGCGCTTGCTTTCATAATGAAGCACCTCCCCCAGACCCATGAAGCTACAAATCTATCAATGGATTCATCTATTGATGAGGTCAGAGTCCAACCACCTCCCAAGGGTTTTTTGGAAGATTCGTGTTCACAGCCATAACCAACCACAGACCCCAAATTCTGGTGATGAAAGTAGGCATCGCTAGCACCTGTGAAACTCAGGAGGCAACCCCACACCCCTGACAGGTGTCGGCAAGTTGATAGCTGTCATTTGCAGCGACAAGGCGGGGGAGCGGCCGTAAAACCACAGTGACTCCTTTATGGCAAAGTGTCCTTATTGACACCGCCAGTGACTCCCGTTCACCAGGGTTAATGTTCAGAAAAGCCTGGTCATGGGGCTAGAGAGATGGCTCAGCGGTTAAGAACACTGGTTCTTCTTGCAGAAGTCCCTGGTTTGAATCCCAGCACCCACATGGCAGCTAACAACTGTCTGTACCAGTTCTAGGGGATCCGACTACTGCTTCTGTCCTCTGCGAGCACTGCACAACATGGATGCACTTACCTACATGCAGGCAATACAAGCATACACATAAAATAAAAAAAATAATAATAAAAAAGAAAAGCCTGGTCATTCTCCTTCATGATGACTGACCTACCCACACCATATAGCTCCACATGGACACCAGTACACAGCCCTTCCCGTCGAGAGCTTGGAGGCTCAGAGTTCATCAGCCACAGGCTCCAATGGGACTTGAGCCTGGGGGAAGAAGGCTGGCCAAGGTTAGGACATCACAGCTACCTGCAGGTCATGGTACATAACTTGAGAGTCACTATTGGGAGGAACCCCAGAGCAACCCTTGATAGCGTCCACAGACAACCTTGTAGCCTCACTAGGTATATCCAGGAATGGATGGGCTGCAGCCACGTGATGATGTGAGGACTTACCAAGGGCTAGGGAGCACATTCTGTGTCGTCCCAGTAGCCAGGAGCCATGGGCAGTCACTGTCTCCATCCTATGAAATGGTGATCCTGGTTTTACAGACTCGAAGAAGCTAGGTGTGAAGAGGGTCTCCCACAGCCAGGCAGTTGGTGGTTGGCAGTTCTGAGCCTAGTGACATGCCTTCCCATGGACTCCTTCCCCTCAACCTGCTCCTCCTAGCTTTGGGCCCGTAGCTGTGCTGTGCATCTGATTACTTACGGCTTGCTTAGGTGGAAGCCCACAAGCTATGTGTTCACTGAAGCTGTTTGGGCCAGTAGGCGATAGCCACACCCTGGACAGTGCCTGGAGTGGACAAGTCTGGGCATCACTCAGTGGCGGCTGAGGCACTGACCTCACAATGACTTGTTTCAGACTATCGCACCCCTGTTTGAAATCCGCATGGAGCTGGACGAAAAAGGGCTGACCTTCAACCCATCACTGGAGATGGGTGCAGAGGACGGCTTCCTGGTGCTGATTGAGGGCCTGATCGACGATCTCTACAACGTGGCCAGGCTCATCCCCCGGCTGGCCAAGGGCAGATTGAACTACAAGGTCAGTCAGTCTTGGTTTGTGACCACCCGTCCGTCTTTCCCTGAGTGAGCTCTTGTGGTGTGTGATGGCCCACCTTGACAATGCCTGCTTATTTAACCTGTTCAGTGGTGATACTTCCGAATGTGATGAGTTCAATGGTTTCCGTCCCATTGGATCCCCAGGCCTGCAGACCTGATTTTTCTCCCTCTCATTCCTGAATTTGTCCTTCCCAAGTGGCCTCTTTTCAGTGACCTGCCTGGGTTTCATTCCCCAGCATGCACTCTGACAAATATGCTGGGTTGGTTACTTTCTCATTCCTGGACAAAACACCTCACAAAAGTGATTTAAGGAGCAAACGGTTTATTCTGGCTCAGGGTCTGAGGATGCAGCCCGTCGTGGTGGGGAGGGCATGGTGGTAGGAACATGCGGGGCTGGTCACATAGCCTCCACAGTCAGGAAGCAGAGACTGAGGAAAGCTAGTGCTCGGCTTGCTTTGCCCTTTACGTTCAGTCTGGGGATGGTGCTGCTCACATTCAGGGTGAGTTGAAGCTTTCTGGAAACACTCTCATAGACACACCCAGAGGTGTGCTTCCAAGGTGATTCTAAATCTCGTCAAACTGCCAGTGAAAATGAACCCTCTGAAAGCCTTCTGCCACCTTCCTCCCCTGTGTGCTCCAAGTGTAGGGAAGGCGGGTTGGAGCTTTTGTTTGTACAGAGACACACAGAGCAGGCTGCCACATCCATCCAGACCACAGTGTCTGGTAGAGCCCCCTTCCCTGGTTCCATCTGAGCACCAACATGAGCCAGGGCTGGGAAGCTGTCGTGATGGGCCTGCCACATGCCTGGCAATGTTTCAGAGACGACCTCATTTGTTTAAACCCACGGAAACCAGTCTTTCTGTAGGTGCACACTAAACCGTTGAGTGCTTACTGGTGGCAGCCAGGAGGAGGGTAAGGGGATGTGAGGACAGGGGGTGTGAAGGGGGAGTCATGTGACTTATCCTGGGGCGATTTGAACAAATGTCTCTTCGCCCCAGATAAGGGCACCGACATTCGGCCAAAGAACCTATCTCCCCCAAGATTTGCTTAGTGAACCAGTGAGTTTATTGGGGTCATTTACAGGAGGATGGGTGAGGGATTGTGTACAGGTGCGTAGATGATTCAAAGGCAGCCACATGACCAAAAACCTGCCCCAGTATGGATGACAGCTCACAGAAACTGCATCTTCCGCAGGCAGTAGGAGACATCCCCCCCTTACTGCTTATATAGCTCTAGGAAGGGGCCTCATGAAGCTTATAACAGCCTTGCAAGCTTAGTTGCATTTACTTCCCGAGTCTTAAAGGGACCCCTTCAGAGAAGTAATAGTTTAGTTTGGAGGAAGAGTCGGATAATGGGGAGGGGGGCTCTGGCTCTTCTTTGGTGGGTTTCTGCCTCACCGTATCATCTGTAACGCGGGTTACGTGTTTTAGCAAATAGTTGCAGTGAGATGTTCTGTGCTCTCAGGAAGGAATGAGTGTGCACATGTCCACGTGGGACTGCACGTGTGTGCCTGTGTGTGATACTTGTGCATGCTTGTAGTGAGGACACATGAGGAAAGAACTCACTTTCTGGAAGGTCGAGGACGGCTTCCAAGATGCGCCGCCAGGGCGGCTACTCCCAAGAGTGGGGTGAGGGCTGCAGGCCGAACAGGTAGGCAGAGAAAATGGCCTACAGTTTGTGAGCTACAGGTGGGATGCCTGGAACACATGGTGGTCTGTCCCAGAAATCAGAATGGTGTTCACTGCCAGTGACACGGACACTAGACAAGTCAGTGACCCAGAGTCAGTGTGCCTTCCATACGCTCCCCAGTGATCATAGGACCATAGTCCTATGAGAAGAGCTGTCCTGTATCTCCTGTTCTGGGGCACCCATGCTGGGGTCTAGCCAAAGGCTGCCAGAGCATACCGGCTGAGTCTGACATGCTACCTAGCTGTGGAAGATGGTGACAGGGTCATGTATCCCACCAAGCTGCATCTCGGCTACTTTCTAAAGGCCCAGACATGGCAGCATGGTGGCAGAGAACCCAAGAGCTGTATCTGAGGGGACGATGGGAATCAGACCAGGGGAGCTGGGGGTCAGGAAAGGGAAAGGAGGGGCAGAATATGGAACATGCGGGCAGAGCCCTGGCATGGCCCAGGCCACCTGCCTACAACCACAGGAACCTAGGGAACTGGGTGACCCTGAACGAGAAAGCCCAACAGGAGGAGCCCCCAGGCAGCAGTCCCTACCCATCTACTGTAGGCCAGACTGCAAGCCCCTGCTGCTCAGCCTACCCTGAGCTTAGATCCTGCCTCCAGGAAGTGGAAAGGGACAGAAGAGCAGATCCTAAGCCTCTGGTTGCCCAGTACCTGGCTCTGGGGGACTTGGGGTAGAGGAACTATGGGCTCAGTATGCGAGCACTTGATGGAGGTGGTAGAGGATTACAGACTCATACTGGTCAGTTTGCACATGAAATGCTTACTCCAAACGAGCCCTTGGCTGTCCCCTTAGAGCTGGATAACCCTGGGAGGTGCATAAGTCACAGAAAATAAATCTGTGATCAATATATACATCCATTCTGTCTTGGGAGTCTCCAGTCATGAGTCACATTTTTGGCTATGGCACGTGTGCTAGCTTTTCAGACATTTGCAATGAAGAAGATCCATCCAGTTCAGGCCGCCCCAGAACTCTGCTACAACCACCAGGTCAGGTTCCTCTCCATTCTCCAAGCCCTCTGCCTCCTCCCACCATGGGGCCCTTGTATGTGCTCTGCTGGTGCCTGGAGAGGTGTGCTGCTCCTGCTTGTCCCCACCCGTCTGTCATCTCTCAGACCCACAGTCGTCCCTGGCCTCCTCTCCACGGTGGCAGAAAGCAAGACTCAGCACTTTGGTGCCTTGGCTCTATGACTTTTTTTTTTTTTTTCTGTCTTTTTGAGACAGGGTCTCCCTGTAGCCCCAGCTGTCCTGGAACTCACTATGTAGACCAGGCTGGCCTTGAACTCACTGAGATCCGCCTGCCTCTGCCTCCCGAGTGCTGGGATTAAAGGCGTGCGCCACCACGCCCGGCTTTATTTTTTTTTTATTTTATGTGTATGAGTGTTGTGCCTGCGTGTAGGTAAGTGCACCCATATCGTGCAATGCCCGTGGAGGTCAGAAGAGGCTGTCGGATCCAGACCACAATGCAATAAAGCTTACAATCAACACCCGAAGAAGCCCTAATCACCACATGAACACATGGATATTAAACAACACACTCAGGAATGATGAATGGGTTCTCTCCAGCCCCAGGCTCTGTGATATTTTTTTTTCTCTCCAAAATTTTATTAGAAGATTTAATTTTACGTACTGAGGAACTTATAAAAGATGGAAAGTCATCAAGATCAAAATAAACACAAAAGTCAGTGGATATAGTCAAATGCACAAAAACAGAATCCTACATTTCAGCAGCATTACTGATCAGAAGAGGGAGTACATCTGGAGGTGAATTTGAATAATAATGTTTTTTAATTTTTTATTTATTATTTTATGTGTATGCGTGTATTGCCTACATGTAGGTAAGTGCACCCATGTGGTGCAGTGCCTGCAGAGGTCAGAAGAGGCTGTCG